CCCTCGGACTTTTATGCCTGCACGCTCAAACATGCGGAAGAGCTGCTTGGAGCCCCCTCGACGCCGAACGCGACGAGGCGGCAATGGCGAGAACACAAGCTCCCAATTTGCCGCTGTGCTGGCTTCTAGAAGGGCAAGGTGCAATTGGGGCAAACAGCTGTTCGGAGGGTCGCCACCAATGTCATACGGCGAAGCATGAACCCCAATATCTCATGCGTTGTGGCTGCTCGCAAAACATGCGCCAGCGCGTTTTGGTGACTTGCGCCTCCAAACTGCATTTTGATGACGTGCGCATCCAAAGCCCCATGGTTGGCTATGCTGTGCACGCTTGCTTCTTGTTGTATGCTGGATTGTTCCTTGGGCATGCAAGCACTGGGGTCGACTCCGATAATTTTGACTACGTGGAAACATGCCGGCGAGGAACTTCCGGTGACCGTAGCTAAGCAAGGGTGGGTAATTATCCACAATTCCCAGTTTCTGTCAGGTTCACATGCTGCCGTGCCTGCGTCAGGCCATGCTTGCCCATGGCCCGGTGGTTGCAAGCGCGGAGATGCCAGTGGAAACTCCCGCTGGAACGCGGCCTGCAAAAATGCACGTGGAAGCCGTACGTTTAACGAACAGGGCGTCTGGCAACCGTTCTTGGAGAAAAGCGCCGCAAAAACCACGGATAAGCACCGGTAGATGGTCAAATGCGCTTCCACCACATGCAACGCAAAGTTGATTGGACTTTTTCTGAGATTTCGGATTCGGACGGCGAGCGTGCGCACGACATCTGCAATGGGATTTCGCGATTGGTACAAGAAATTGGGGCACTGTACCAGTGTGACAAGAATTGGGCCAACCCCAAAAAATGAAATATTCACGTGCTTGGGATACCTTGGGAGCTTGAAGGTGAACTGACCACATTCCGAGGTCAGTTGTGTTGGCATTGGCTTGTCGTTGACGCTTTTCGCGCTGGCAGGCTGGAGATTTTTTGGATAGCAGACCTTCAGCGACCAGTGTAAAATCGAATTCAACAGACACCCATCGAAGTGATGTGTTTACATCCGGGCAGGTGTGGCGACCTATGCATCGAACACCATTTTGTTTGACTGCGTGAAGGAAACAGGACATGGACGCAACCTTAGCCATTATGTTTGACGCCAGGGTTTTGTGATGTTTTGAGTTTAGAAAATGTTATGCACCCAAAGCATCTTTGGATGCTTAGGTTCTTACGGCCAGTTAATGTTGGACATCCTTGGCAAGCCCGGCCCTGTGTCGCCGATGGACCCGTGCAGCATCAATTATGACAATGTGGCTTTGATACCGATTAACACAATGCAGGTCTGGGGCAATGGTCCTCGACATGTTTGTGTTCATCGAGGCGCGAGTGAAAAAACGCTACGAGTCGTCAGGTCATGCTAGGTGTGGTGGACGTGTGAGGATGAAGCAGGCCATTGTGCGTTGTTGGCAGGGGTTGGGAGCAGTGGCAACCTACATTGTCTTCATCATGGACTACGTCCCCCAGGCCACAACCGAGTCAGAATGCGCATCTTTGTTGATTTATTTTCCGTTCATGCAGCACTCAACGTCATTGCGTGAGATTCGTGACAGGTATGCGCATTGTGGGGTGATGACCACTGGTGCACAGACAAGCTGAATGTTGCACAGCCCTGAGGTATTCGGAGTTGTGGAGGCATGTGCTCATCAATAAGAACTGTTCGATTGATACAATTCGGGTGAACCATATCGGGGCCGTATGAATGAACCGTCTCTTCTCATCTGGCCCTTATCCCGCAAAAATGGATTGTTGTGCGTGCAAGCATGCTTTCACCGACGTCGCTTGCATCATTTACCAGCTTGTGATAGCTTGTGTCCTGCAAGGCATGGGCCACGGCGCTAGTGGTGTGGCCCCTGAGTTGCCTCCGCGGTCTCTCAGCGCTCAGGCGCCCGTGGGCAATAACACCAGGGTCTCTTTGGGGTCCTTTCTGGTTGTGGTCCTCATGGGTTAGGTTGCTTACGTTGTTGCAGGTACACATCAACATGCAGCATCGCAACCATTCTGTTGACCTCGGTCGTCGTGATCATCAAGGCTTGTGCTTGTTTGCACATAGATTTGGACCATTTGCGGTTACTAGCATTGCGCCGCAAAACAATTCAACTATGTTGTCTACAGCGTCCCACATGGTTTTTGCACTTCCTGTGCCAGGCTCCAATCCATTTCCACGCGAAGGGCGATTCTTTGCAACATGTGCTCGGGGAAGTGACGGGCCTCAGCATACCTGCAGCTCCCGCAGCTCTGAGAGCATTTGAATTTAATGGAGTTGGGACACAAGGGTGTAACGTGTAACGTTTGCCCGTGTAGACCTTCTGTACACCTAGGCCTCAGCTGCCCCTGTGCCAGAGACAGTCTCGAAGCGATGTGGGTATTCCCAGACCCTCTGTAGGGTCAACTGTACACCTATGCAAAGTTGCCGCTCCCATCACTCCCCACCATGCCATGTGTCTGAAAAGCTGTCGTTATTGTTGTTGTTGTTGTCGTCTTTGAGATGCGCCATTTTGCCAAGGTGCATTGGAACATGAGCGGCTTCCAGGCTCTCATGTTGCAACCTTTGGGGCCCATCGATACTTTTCCATTTTGACCTAGCTATTACTGCCACCCTCCAGATCGTGGCATCAGAAGCCTTTGCTGGTGCCAGGTGCTGTCGATGGCATGTTTCGCCTTCATGACGCACCTTGGTGCTTTCTAACCGTGAGGGGGATGAGGGCACAGGATGTGCGAGTATGGCAGGAAGCCCCACCAAAAACAACATAAAATAACGTTTGCATAGCGGCTTTTTGAAGCTGACGTAGTTTTAGAAATGGCCCAGGTTTTGCAGGTATTGCTTCATAGGACTGCAGCTGCTGCAAGTTTTTTGAATCACGAAGCCCGCATTTGTCTCATATTCTTTCTCTAAGGCACACGAACTCGCCAGAGATCGCGTTGCGCTTTGTGGGTGGCCCAAAACTGGCACGTAAGGCTACGGAGTGTCGTCGTTGCCAGTTGGTCAGAGGGGATCTCATACAAGCAGCGCGTTCGCTTTTCACAAGGAACTGTTGCGGTGTATGTTAAGAAGTGGTGCATTTCCAGGCTTTTCTGCTTAGCAGTCCTACTCGGGATCTGCAGGGATCGCCGTGAGATCATGTGGCAGCCAGGGTCAAGGCTTTCCCGTCCATGGGCGGTCCATCTAGGGCTTACAAGAACATAGCAGGTAGCCACAAGTTTGCAGAGTTGTCCATGATTCACATCTGTTAACATGTTGCGTAGGCGTAGGCGCCATCTGCGTGTGGCCGCAGGTGCTGACTATTCAAACGTGCCTTTTGTGGGCCGTCTACTGTGCCATTGCTGTGTGTGGGTACCTGTCGTTCCTCGGTGACATCAAGCAGGACAGTCTGCGTGCTTGTGGTCTGACTTTCGGCACCTTCCGGCTTCGTTTGTGGTGATGGGATGTGATGGGAGAGCTCGCCAGGATTTTCTCACAAATTACGAGCTTCGCGATACGCTGATCGTTCTCCTGCCACATTTGCGCCACTTGCGCCACCATGGCGCCAACTTCAGATGGCAGACGCAAGGATACTCCAGACTCTAGCCAGTTTGCATCTCCGAATGGGCCTGATTCATTGCACCAAATGCACCAGAAGTGACACCTGAATGTCTGTGGCCAGGTGTTATGTCGATGCCTGCTCTCTTCCACGCTGGTGTGTCGATCTTGGTCGTGCTAGCATTTTCCAAGGTACCGGAGGCTTATGGCTTATCTCCTTTTGTTGGCTTGCCCGAGCTTTAGGTCAGTGGGCCACAACCTGAAACCTAGTTTGCCAGACGAGGTGTACGGATGAGCCTTTAGGTCATGGTGCGGGCGGTTGGAGGAGGAGCGGCAGCAGAAACCAATGCCGTAAGATCAAGATTCTTACTGCATGTTCTAGATGTGTATCCAGGCTGTATGGAGTGAATGGGCTATCACTACGACAACACTTTACTCCGACGACTTCATCCGTGCCTCTCGTGTCCAACCACCCCAATGAGCTCAACAAAGCACTGGGTAGTAGTACTTGTGCATGGAAAAGTTATTGTTGGTCCATTGTCGGGTGGCCACTAGGACGGATCAGCAGGCAACGTCTTCTAGTTCCCTACATTGCAGCGAGGTTCGCATGTCCCATCAACATGTTCCCGGCGATGCAGGCTGGGCAGTTGCACCCTGCGTTTCTCTATAATGTTCGGTCAGAGCCCTCATTTTCCTGGCTGCTGTTCTTGTGGCTGTTACTACTCTGGATGTGGTAATTTCAGGCACTATTCAATGTCTTAGAGGCACTGCGAGGGCCGCAAGCTCAGCACATGAGATGAGCAGCAACGACATGTGGGGAGCTTTTGTTCATATACAGAACAGAATGGAGAAAAGCCTCAAAAGCGGCCTAGTTGTTTCGCAGGTCTGCCTACGATGTGACTTGGAACCCTAAAACTGAACCCCTGGGAGTTCGAACCTCAGCCAGAACTGAGGAGGACGCCCCATGAGGACAGTGTACTTACTGCTCATGGGGAGTTCGGTTTCATTTTGCGGGAATTAGCCCACTGGAGGCCGTTGAAGACCCGGCATGAGTGCGTGAGTGCAAGCAGCACTGTATTGCAATGCCCTGGTGTTTTAGGGCCAAGTGGGCTGAGGAGGGCAGGGAACCTGAGATTTGAACATGTCTGTGTGTCTCGGTCCATTTTTGGGGGCTCCCGAGAATACACTAGCTCCCCCATGAGTGTGGCGTGGATCAGAGGACTCTTACTTTGAGAGCATTACTGAACTTGTCTCTCCCAAGCCTTTTTTGCTAAGATTCTGTCCTTTGCAACCAGGGCGAAATAGAGTTCCATGGTAGTCCGGTGGTCTCCGGGTTCCTTTTTGCAGCCTTTGGGCGGCGAAGCAACGACTGCATGCTATTGCCCTTGCCAAGAGTGTGCAACCCAGAAAGAGTCTAGCCCGGGTCGTGAGGGTGACATTCTTGAAATTGAGGTTCAGCTAGTAAGAATGCAAAGGTTCATGGATCCTACATGCACCACGACGAGTATCGAAGTACAACATGTGCCCCTGGGCATACCTGCAGCAGCTATCCCGACCTCTGTGAGAATTCTACGTACCCATCTGGCACCCTTAACCTGAAGGCTTATGATGCGCATTGCTTTGAGGCACGCAGGCGACAAAACCACAAAGCTTAGTCTGCGCATCTACGACGGTGGGCTGCGCCTATGCCGCTCGACCTCGACGGCGCCTGCTTTCCCACAGCTTGGCGACCATGAAAACGCTCATCCATGTCTAATCGAGTGCCGGGGCCAGCAGTTTTGGAGATGCTTCTAGTGTTGCCCAAAATGGACATAACTGAGCTACACTATAAGGAATAGGTTTGGTACGGCTGCCTCAGACTGTGTGGAGCGGGTGAAATGCAACAACGAGGCGAAAGCGCCTGCTGTTGCAGTAATCCCCTCCCCCTAATGAGAAACACCTTCACCACCCCCCTAATATTCAATACTCCCATTATGTTATAAATCATAATAGATGGGAGTATTCAATGTTAGCGCGGGTGGGGCGCTTTCTATTAGGGGGAGGGAACACATGGCAGCAAGCCACGAGCCCCAGAATGCCAACCGTGCAACCGTGCGAAGGAGCGCCTCTACGACATGCACCAAGTGCGCATTCCCGTCACTACGGCGGCCTTCTCGCTGGTGCGGGGTTGTGGGTTTAGGGTTTATAGCCCCCCTTAAGTAGATAGAATATGGGGTATATGGGGATCTTAGTATAATCTACCCAAAGCCATATTCTATCTACTTAAGGGGGGCTATAGGGTTTAGGGCTGTGGTCAGGTTGATGGACTTGTGGGCTGAGGGCAATGGAGATGTGTTTAGCTACGCGCGGCATGTTGTCAATCTTAGAACTTCACTTCTAGAGCCCTGAAGGGTCGATGGTGTTCTGCAGACAGTGCAAGTCAAAACAAATTCAACTTACGTCAACCAAAAGCCCATGTCTAAGAAGTGCGCTCAGGCCTCGGCCATTTTTTGCTGTACTTCACATTTTCTTCGAGCTAAGTTGCCCCTCGTTAAAAAAGGGGGGGCCGTAGAGCACAGCTTCTCCTAATCTTCCCAGTGGATGTCAGGGCGCAGGCTTGAAGAAACAAGCAGCAGTTGGTCTAAACTCCTTAAAGAGGGATAAAAGTAAGGGGTGATATAGCGGACTTACTATAGAGGTTATGAAGGGGGATGCTAGGAGTTTAGACTATAGCTCACATGCTCCTTGACCTGCACGGCCCCTTAGGCAACGAAATACATGATAAGCCATCACAAGACAAAAGGAAGGCGAACGTAGGAACACATTTAATAGAAGCAATCCCCCGCCCCAAGTAAAAAGAAAGTAGGAACATGTTAAATAGGAGCGAATTAAAGCCCCACTCGATAAGGATTATAGTATAGTCTTTGGGGTTCTACTAAACTGTAAACCCTTTACCCCCACCCCCCCGCACTTCCCCCCCCCCACTTCCCCACCCACCCACCCCCAGTCTCCCCGCCCACCCCCAGTCACCCCGCCCCCCCACCCCCCCACCCGTCTAATCCCTTGTTCGAAGGCCTGCCCTGTTGGCTTCACATGGCTGTGTCATGATTGCTAGTGTCAAAAGGATGCGTGGGAACTCTGAACATACATACAAACACGCACATATACATATATATAGATATAAGTAAATCATGATCGGTTTTTGCTGTTGTTCGCTAGTACTGCTCGTGCTTGCTGTATTATTGTAGGCTTTTCATTGTGGTGGCATTGGCATTCACTTTAAGCCTCCTTCCTGGTACCACTGGGCTTGAGTTGAAGTACAGAGGGCATAATCCTGAATCCTAATGCAAGTTCAAGGGTTTAAAGTTTAGGGTTCAGGGGGTTCCTCTGCTGGAGTTTGTAAGTTCCCTACCATTCCGGAAATTTGGAAGACTTCATGTGGGGGAGATCCTTTAGTTGAGAGCTTTGCGGAATAAAGCTTTACAAGGCGCCGTTACCTAGACATTGCAATGTAGTACCCTTTTGGGCTTCTAAATAAAAATCCAAACCCCGAAACCATACCAAAGCCCAAAAAGGAACTACGTCGGCATCATGCCATGAGAAATATGTAATTCCAAGCCACAAGTGGCAAAAGATTCGTGCTCTGAATCATAAACCCGAAGCCCCAACCCTGAAGCCTAAACCCCAAATGGTAGTTTCCTTGAATAAGGGGACCCCAATGTAGGACACTAAAATACTATAGTCCTTATTATGGGGACCCTTAAAATGGGTGCTCCTAATTTTGAGAAACCCCCAAATACAGAAATCTGCCCAAAGCGTGCTTGCAGACCTTGGGCGTGGCTCTAAAGTCACCCCACGTGGCAGACCTCATCGGGCGCTGCCCTCAGATGTTAGAGGCTTGCTCACATGTTTTTTTGTAATGAAAAGTCGCTTTGAAGAGCGTAGAGGGTTTATACAGAGAGATAGGGAGGGGTTGATCATTTAGGAGTCCTTGACAAGGAGCTGAGCAAAAGTTTTGCGTATATAGTAAGTAGGGTTGAGTCATGGAGGCGGTGTGCGGATTCCAGCTTTGAAGGCTTCGGCTTGCTGTTGCACTTCTGCTGGGAGCTGCTTAGACCTAGACCTCAGAAACAGGTCAAATACTCGGCGAAAATCCCAGGGTTTAGAGTCTAGGGTTTATAGTCTCCCTTTAAGTAGATAGCATATGGCTTTGGGTATGTATGATAGGATTCCCATCTCTACTTAAGGCGGACTATAGGGTTTCTTCATGTTGTTGGGCTTCAGCTAGTCGTCCTTCCCTTGTTATCGGCCGCTCGGTTCAGGCTGGTTTGGGCTTCCAATGTTGGGGTCTCCATGAACAGGGGGCCCTCAGTATACCACAGCCCTTTCCCCAAAGCCCCAAAAAGACCCCTTCCTTTTTTAAACCCCCTGATATGCTCTAGAATCTTGAATTCACATGTACTACAAAGGCTAGTTTTCAGAAACGGTCCAAGCCCTAAGTCATAAACTCTAAACGCTAAGCCACAAAAAACCTAGACCCTAAACCCTAAATTCTGGGAGAAAGGAGTTCAGGCTGTAGCACAGTTTGTTTCAGCGCACGGCCTTGGAAAAGGGGATTCGGGTTTAGAGTCTATCCTATCTGATTTCTAGGCCTCGATTCTAAATTCCTTGCGAGAAGCATCCACTTACTGGTTGTTGTGGGGAATGGAGGAAGGGACACCCACACTTGCTCCCTATAAAATTCCCACGAAGGTAGTTTTCATATTCTTTTCCTTTCCATCTTTTTTTCTACCTAAACCCTGGGACCCAGCAAGTCAAAGCTCACATGGAATGAACTCTCTACGCCCAGGACTCTCAGCGCCTATTTCTCATCTCCGTTGATGTTTGCATTTCCCGCGATCATGCCGGGGCTCCCAGTCCTTTTAACCCCAATGTTGGTGAGGGTTCCGAGGTCTAAGCCGCCAATTCATCAGCTCAGCTAGGGCGACAAAGCAACGGCCCAGATTCATCGGGGTTATATAGGGATAATGGCAAAAATGGAAACTACTATATTGGGGTTATATTGGGGTCATATTGGGGTTATATAGGGATAATGGAAAATGAAATGGAAACTACTTAATGACGGATCCTCGAAGATGGCAAGTGAGCCTGAACTTATGGATTCTTTCGAGGGGTCCTTG